CCAAGTTCTACAGAGCTGGCACCTCTGACAGTCAAGAGACTTCCCAGCTAGCAGACAGGATACTCAAGCAGTAACATGCTGTGTTGCCAAAGAAAATTCTTTGTGCATGCTCTTTTCTTAGAAGGTGAATCCAAATTCTATAGTCTGAATTCAAGATCAAGCATCAGTGCACCAGAAGATTTCCAGAAAGCTGAAAAACTCGTCTACAGCCAACTGAACAACTTGGTTCAACTGATGCCAGTGATGGCCAGCACAACACAGACAGTTGCCAGGCAAACCTGCCATGAACAGCTATATAGTCACATCTCACCTCATCATTCTTGTGTTAGTGTGATTTGAACCTCCCTTTCAGCAAAGGCCACCAGCTGCAAGTAGCTCTGTAGAGCTTACACATAGATAATCGAGTAATCTAATTTTGTTTGTGACCTAAATCCTATTTGTACACAGAAGAGATGAGGTAAAAGGTGGGATGCTTTCCAGTCGGTTGGAAATAGCAATTGAAAAACAATGGGTCAGAAGTTTAAGAGCTCACTCTAACCATGGCTTGTGTCCTCCAGCCTTCACCATGTCTGCTGCAGGGAAAAAAAAAAAGCTAGCATTTGTTAATCTAGTCTAAGTCAGAAATACAGTCTAAACTAATGAGAACCGTGGTCTCAACTGACAGTACTCCATGGCCTCCACTGTTACCCAGCCTGCAGAGCACGGCAATCACACACAGCCTTGCTGACTTCGACCAGGTGCAAGCAGGAGCATACATTTCCCTAGACTGGGCCACCAGCTGTCAGTAAAACACATCTTCTCTAGAATGCAGCCTTTCAAGTACAAATTTTACTCCCCAATGATTATCTCTAATTCAGGCTCTATTCTGCCTTTACCCTGTATAGGTCACATGTAAAATTACGTGTATCACTGTGCTGGATGCCCTACAGACAGGCTGGGTAGCGTGTCATAACTAGACAAAATCTCTCTCTGCACTTATAAAGTAGATTTGGTGGTAGTGGTCGCAGCTGAACTGACTGAGACACATCCTCCGTTATCTCCATCGCCACATACAGTCACAGAACTGGAATGGACCTTCCTTCCAACCCCTGCCTCGCTCCCTGCTGCTCAACACATCATACCAGGGCTCTGCCCACCTGGCCACAGGATATGAGCAGGAAAGCCATTCACAGCCACCTTTTAGTTGCAAAAAGGGATGTCTCAGCCCTCAGCATCACCAGGAGATTTCAGTGAGCCATAGCCCAAATTCCAGCAACCAGAAAAGCACCTCTAGTTTATAACCTCATTCAAAGCCACTCTGAGTCAGTCTCCTATTTAAAGGTCGCTTCAAAGCCCCCTGATTTCAGCACATGTTGTAATTGAGAAAATATTTAGGGCAAAACCCTAGCAGCACTGGAGGTGTAGGGAGTTTTGCCAGTGGCTCCAGCCTGAGCAGGTGTAACCTCTGCTCTGCTAGTTTCCTCTTCACTTGGTTTCCTGGTCATCTGTGACAAAGGGGACCTCCTTCAAAACATCCAAACACAGCTGGTAGCAGATGCACTGGGAAGGGAGAAGAATGGAGGTGTCCTGGGCTAGGCAGGGATGGGGCAGGAGCAGCGGGGCCATGCCACCCGCTGCCACTTAGCCACCAGCTTTCAGCTCCAAGGCCATTACAGAGACAGCACAGCAAAGCTCAGAGGTCCTGGCCACTCACCGGCTCCTCCTACCCTCACACGTGCTCTTGTATTCCTGCGTGTTGCTCTGTATGCTAGCCCAGCACCCACTCGTACATCCTGGAGGGATGTAGCCTCAAGCTGAGACCCAAACCATACAAGATGGCTCAAAACCACTGCAGATAAGAAAGGAAAGACAAGGGTAGGGGGCAGGAAGAAGATTTGGGAATCCACGTCCCAACTTTCTATATTCAGTAATGTTTAATCTATGCTCTCTCCCCATGGAAACAGTATTCCAAGGCACAGCCTATGTATTAAAAAGCCTCTACCCATGCAAGCAGTGAAGCTCTGAGAACAGTCGTCAGGCAGAAGCAAAGTGGGTGTGATGTTTGGCAGGCTACAGAGGGTATTCTGTGCCACAGGATGTAAGGCAACTAGGAAGCATTGGTCAGTGCTTAATAACACCATGTTCTGCAATTGTTCCTCCATGTAACATGCCATTAAAATCAAGGAACTAGCATGAATTAATGGAGACAGAAATCACGCACCTGGGAAACCTCCTGGTGGAAACCACACCGAGTCCCCTCCAACATGAATATGCATCACCCCTGCTCACAGGAGCTGAACTCCACCCCTGGCTTACAGTGATTCCCAAAATGGTTTCCTCCACACTCCACAACTTATTTTCCAACACTATGGAGACCTCACAGATCAAGAAAAAAACCCTAAAAAGAAAGCCAAACTCACACCTTGACGGAGTACATGGGGTCTGCCTCGGCACTGAGGAGGAGCATGGCTACACCCAATATCCTGAAATTTCCAAGGTTGTCTCTGGCCTGACGTGCCCTCCCTCCTCAGCAGTGGTGTCTTTGCTCCAGTGATGCAGTTCACACAGAGGTTTCCTCCCTCCTAACACACACACAGTCACAAGGAGCCCCATTTGCTCCTTTGCTTTCTGTCTACGTAGCAAGAAACCACACTCTTACCTGAACATCCACCAATCCAGCCTGATCAGTTCCCCGACCAAAACCTGTTAATCAAGCAAAATACAGCTAATATGCAATTTACATCTCATAGCAGCTACAGGACACTGCTGGCTGCCTCCTCTCATGCCCTAGCCAGAGCTTGGCGCAGGCAATGGACATTTGACGACAGGACCCCCGGCCTCATGGAGGCAGAAGCAACGGGACACCTCCAGATTGGTGGATCCAAGTCACAGAAACCCAAATTTCATGTGAGAAAGTGACCTCTCTGTATCTTCAGATCCACCCATCTGGACCAACAGGGTCTGCACAGGGAAATCCCCAGCAGCACTGAGTCAGTGCTCATCTCAGGAGGGAGCCAAGGCCACTCCACTCCATCAGGCTGGGGAAGAGAAGTGGTTCAATGGACAGAAACACCTGGGCCAGGAGGTCTGGAATATCGAATTCAAAGCTCTAAGTCCAGAAAGGTTTCTAGACAACAGAGGAAAAAACATTCCAGCCTCTCCGGGAAACAGGCAGGAGATGCAGAGACATCACCGTGATGCACCAGCTATGAGACAAACACTTGAGAGAAGCGTGCAACCAGGACACATGAACATTGCTTTTGAGAAACAGCATCCAACTACGGACAACAAAGGACATGAGGATGAATTATCCAAGCTTAGTCCGCCTCAACACAGAGAAAGCAATCCAACCAACAGCATCCACCTCTTACAAACAGAATGGCTATTCCAGTTTGTAGCCTCCTAAGCAAGCTTTAGCACAGACACATCACCATTTCTGACACTTAGAACGGCTATTACACCCAATCCAAAACACTTCCAAGCCCTCAGGATCCAGCCCCTGCCAGCAAATGCAACTCCCACAGAGACAGAACAGCGCTGTCTTAATGGACAATATTGACAGTCGTGAACCTTAAGATGTCACCGACTAACGACGAAAGCTCTTCTGTACTAGACAGGAGCTGCTGTGACTTCCAATGAATCCAAGACAGAAATCCGTGTAGATAAACACGGAAGAGTCAAATCCCTATAGATGGCTGATGGTGGGAACTTGCTCGCTGAGACTAAGTCCTTTATTTAATGGACATAAGGAGGTTTGAGAGGGGAAAGCGTCCCAGAGGGTGTTCTACAGAGAACTGATACAAGGGTTTGATCATGTTGAGGAAGACACATAAAAACTGAATATATAAATACTAGCTCTAGAACCAGTGAGAACACTCTATTTCAGAGAGGAAAAAAAGAGATGACAGAGGAGGACTTTTTGGAAAGGTCACTTGGGATGTTAAGAAGAATCATCTAAAGTACTCTATAAAATTTCTAGATGTTGTAATTACAGTTAATAACTCATCAGAAACATGTTTCTGACTCAATAAAGGCTTGCTTAAAAATCCCCAGCATAAAGAAGCTACCAGAAATAGGAACAGACCCCAGAGAGGGCATCCCTGGGGAAGCAGAAGGCACTGAAGTCAAGGAGAGAGGCAGCAACATGCAGAGCCAAGCAGAAGCAGTCTATAACCAGGGACACCCTGAGAGTCCAGGCACCAGGGGAAGCTGCAGGTGCAGTTTCTGAGACTTGCCACTGACAAAACTCTTTAGACCTGCCAGGGAACTTAGAGAGGAAAAACTGGGGACATTTGTGCATGTAGCTGTATTCTGCCACACGTACAGGCTGTGGGTGCGTCACCCATCACTCTAGATGGGTGGATCTGAGGATACATAGCTATTATTTTCTGTGACAGTGTACTGTATTTACTACTGTCAGGAACAGCTCTGTGCCACACTTGCATTCAAACTTTGGAGAGGGATACCCTGTAGCTAGCTATCTAGAAAACTCAGTGGGAGCTAACCCCTGCATAACTCCCTGGCATCTCCACGTTGAGATAGTGACAATCCACAAACCTTTGTTTATTTTAGTGCTGGGAAAAAAGAAAAAAAAAACCACCAACCTATTACAGTAATGTCTTTCACAAGTAATAGAGCAACCAGAACTTCTCTCTAATGAAATGTAACAAGCACTGTTACTTTTTTACTAAAGAGACAGGAAAATGACAATGAATTGATCAGGAACTTAATTATAGGCATATTTTGTATTAGCAGCTACAATTTATCTCAATTTAATCAATTCTGGAAGGCAGTAGCTCCAGCATAAAAAAGGAAGATCCCAAATTTAACCTTTTTTTAATTCTGAAGGGGAAAAAAAAAACCAAAACAAAACCAAAAAATTATTCTACAGTAACTCAAATTGACAGATTTCTGCAACTTACAAATAACTGAAGTAATCAAACTGCATTAAAATAACACTGCGTGTTGGCTAAATAATTTCAAAGTTGTTCCACTAGTTGTACCTTTGGCTTTATACTCACATGTGTGGATTTTGGAAAGGAACTCCAGAAGTATTTAGAGTAAATCTTGCTGTGGACTTGAAAGGTGGATTTGCAAAATTTAACTTCAGCGCTTTGCGTTTACCTGGGAGACATGAACATAAAGTAAACTTTTTGTCAGCAACAAAATATTAAGAGCATCTAGAAATAAAGAGGAAAAGATAAACACATTGTAAGAAAAGGAAAACGCATTTCACAACATTAGCAAATCATAGCTTGTGTTAGGGACACAGGGATGGAGAAATGGGAGTCAGCTCTCACCCCAAGGTCTTCCCCGCTCGCTTTCCAATTCAGTCACCAAAGCAAGGTGTCCAAAGCACCTCCTGTGACAGCTGGAGTACCAGCATCAACTGCCAGGGCTACAGAGAACCTCTATACCAGGGCCTGAGCATCCTCCATGCACAACCACTCCTTTAAAGAGACCCAGGCTCAACTGCAGTCATGGTGGCAAAGGGGCCCAACCTGCTTGGCACCACCTAAGCATGGCGCCAGACCCAGGGTAGACAGTGCTGAGGACAGGAAAGGGCACCTTGGTATGTCTTTTATGTAACACCCCAACCGCAGGAGGGCTGACAGGGTTCCTGACCCTCCTCAGCCTAACAGCAAATGCTGTCTGCTGTGCACTCCTTCTGCCAAGTGGGTCACCAAGCAGAGAGCAAAATTCAGCCCATCGGAGGGGTGATCAGGTGAGAGGAAGCTTTGGTCTGCAGCCAACTGAGAAAGCATGGGGAAAAAGAAAATAAATAGTAGGGTGGAAGTGGTCCTGGTGACCGCTCCAGCCACTGGCTATGCATTTTTCATTGAAGTTCAGATGACGTGCTTGAGCAACAGCAGGATCAGGGACTAAGAAGGGAGATGTCCCTTCTGAGCCCTCCCACTGGGTTGCAGATCCTGTCTTGTTCCTATTCGGCCACACAAAATCTGTGCTCCTGTCCACCAAAACACAGGAAGATGGGGGCCTCTTCCACACCCACCTTCCCAGGAGCCTGCAATTGAACCTGCCAGGCTTCCTGCTGCCTGGGTGATATCTTAACAACTCACTGCTGCTCATCCCAGAAGGCACTGGCCACCCAAAACTGGCACAATAGCTGGATTCCTCTGACAACCTTCCTTTGCCTGCACCCTAGAGCGGGTGTCATACTCCCAACCGTCCCACAGCACTCCTGGGAAAAGCCAGAAGGCACTATCTTGTTCTGCAGCGTTCTTTTACCTTGCAAAAAGAGGTGTTTTGGCTAACTCCAAGATTTTTTCCTATAAAGACAATTTTTTCTACATGTTTATTATACATCATTTTTTCTCCTGAAAAGCATCAAGTTGGAGCTGTTGAGTCCCACCCCAAGATCAGTGGAATGGCCCAGTATCACCAAATTCTGACTGACCTCCATCTCTGCCCTTCACTGTGGCTGCCCAGTGCTCTATAGTATGAGAATTATCTTATTTATGTTACTTATGTGCATGCAAAAAATTACTCACTTTGTGCAAGATGACACAAAGGAGTGCATTTCTACACATAGCACCATCGTGAGGATAAGCAAGCCTTGTCTCCTGATCAGACTTTGCCACACCAAAATCTTCCAGAGTAGGTTATGCAAAGGCAAGCCTACGTAGACAGTGAGAGGTAGGCACTGATACAGCAACAATATGATGTTTCAAGGAGCACCAGGTGACAGTAACATTTAATTCTCATTTAAATACTCGTCCATCCACACACACCACATCCTGACATTAATTCCCTCTTCCCTGAACATGGCACCCTGCTGCTGAGCAGCACAGGTGCTACAAACCATGAAGAGAAGAGCCAGATGTTGGGTAGGTAATGGAAAGAAGAATCAATCTTCTTTGATTATGGAAAGAAGAATCACAGAATCATTCTGGTTGAAGAAGACCTTTAAGATCATCAAGTCCAACCATTAACCCAAGACTGACAAATCCACCACTAAACGATGTCCCTAAGTGCCATCTCTACATATCGTTTAAATACCTCCAGGGATGGTGAGTCAACCACTTCCCTGGGCAGCCTGTTCCAATGCTTGACAATCCTTTCCATGAATTTTTTCCTAATATCCAGTCTAAACCTGCCCTGGCACAACTTGAGGCCATTTCCTCTCATCCTATTGCTTGTTACTTGGGAGAAGAGACTGGCACCCACCTCACTACACCCTCCTTTCAGGTAGGTGTAGAGAACTATAAGGTCTCCCCTCAGCCTCCTTTTCTCCACATAAACAACCCCAGCTCCCTCAGCAGCTCCTCATAAGACTTACTCTCTAGACCCTTCACCAGCATCGTTGCTCTTCTTTGGATGCACTCCAGCACCTCAATATCTTTCTTGCAATAAGAGTTTCTAAGCTCAGGTTCTTGCAGCACATGTGCCAAATGAACTGGAGAAAAATGACTTAAAAGTAGCCAAAGAACTCAATTTGCCCTTATATGTGACCCAGAAACAAAGTGGTTGGAAAAAACCCAAAAAGGTGGCAAAACCAAAACGAGCGTATCATTTTCTGCAGAACTTATCAACCCTCCACATCTTTGATGTCAATCATCCACAATTTTCTGAAAGTTCAGATGTTTGCATGACCAACAGGAATATGCATTGAATCACAGAATGGTTTGGGTTGGAAGGGACCTTCAAAGATCTTCTATTTAACAACTCTACCATGGACAGCGGCATCTTTCACTAGGTCAGGGTGCTCAAAGCCCCATCCAACCTGACTCTGAACACTGCTCATAATGAGGCACCCACAGCTTCCCCGGGCAACCTTTTCCAGTGTCTCACCACCCCCATCATAAAAATCTATTCAAGCTAACACTAACGGTACTGTTAGCCAACAGAGAGGCAGAGCAATCTGTATCTTGTGTCTGTCTCTTGAGAAGTCCTGCAAGGCCCCTCTGAAGCGTATGGCTGCAAGCACGTCTGCCACCTCAGAGGAACTGGAGGTTTTCTGGCAGGACCCTCTGCAAGTGCACAACCTGTCACAGCTGTAACACCGCGCCGTTGCCTGACCGACCTCCGAGACCAATTCTGACTACAACTGTGATGGCTTGTCCCTTCTTACAAAGAGCAAAACCAGACTCAGATCACAACTTCCAAGGATCTGGGGGATGCTGACACCTACCAGTCATGTGCATACACCTGGAACCTCCCCCTGCCCTTTCACAGTCCCCAAGTTCTCCCCTGCAGCTGTGCAGACAGGTGTGGGTGGTGGAGCTGGGCAGGTACCCACAGATAACGGTCATACCCCTTGCTCACCTGTCCTGTTACCGCAGCATAAACTCTTCTCTTGGAGTGGGTTCAGGGGTTTACAGTAGTCACCGTTCTTCTAGCCTTTATTCACATGCCTGAAACACTATCCTCCTTTCAAGAGCAGTAATACAGCGTCACAAGATTTTCCCTTTCTAACAGCAACTTTTATACAACTTACAAGAGCGTTTGTCTTTGAAGTGACCCAACACTGAAAATGACACAATTAACTACAAACTCTTATCAGAAAAATCTTCTCTTCCCAAAACCTGCTCCTATTCTTACCACTTGCAAACTTTCGACACCAAGTTTCCTCGTGTTTTCATACTGTGATAGAACATTTTTTATCACTCTTAAACATCAGTCTGTAGATTTCTATCTCAGCAGGTTTCTAAGAATAGTTCAATAATGTTGATGCACCATCTAGAGCTGGATTTTCTACAAATCCAACAAATACAGAAGAATAACATGCCCCTGAAAAGCAAACAAGATGGTTTGCTTTTGCTCAGATGATGAACAAGGAACATGACAGGGGAGAAACAGACATCCTGAGAAGTGCCAGGAAATTCGAATTTCCATTCAGTGCAAGTCACGTGGAAACACGTATTGCAAATGAAACAACACACTAAAATGAACTAGAAATCTGACAACAGTCAAAGCAAGCTGTCTTCTCCAGTAGCCTTTCAAAAATCAAGTACTTCAGCTATGTACTCTGACTCTCGAGTTTCATCCCAAAAAAGACTTCTGACAGGTCCAATCCCCTATTCCTTGCAGAAGCATCACTCAAAACTAACCGGAAGCAAGAGAGCCTTTTTAGATGCAAGAGTTTTGCTGGTGACTTTGCTATGCACAGATTTAATTTAGAACACCATGCTCTGCTAAAATAAAGCGGCCTGAGGTTAATGTTTCTACTGAAAAATTCACTAATGCCCCTATCTCCATCAAGACTGCGTGTTCAAAATGGTCCTAAAACATGCTGCAGAAATATCCACCTTGTGTAAATTAGATGTCCTTTATAGGTTTTACTAACTTAATACATAATTCTAATCACTGACCACTATAACATCTATTTCCCTGAGAACTGTGAGAAGTAATGATTTGGAAGAAACCAAAACTGACTTTGGAACATATCACTTTTCAGAAATTAGGTTAATCCTCAAAACCAGATCTGAAACTATGAAGTTTCTTGACTTGGAGTCTTCCTAATTTTGACTAGTGCATTTGTTCAGCTGTATGTAAATGGTTACACTAAGTATAGATTATATTTGAATCAGGATGGCCTTGGCTTTGGCTGAGCTGAAGTGGTAATGGAAGTATTTGCTTATGTTTTGAGGGAATCTAAACAGGATTGTATCCTAAGTTATGCTGCTGTCAGAAGAAAAAGCCAAAATAGCTTTCTGATTGCAAATAAAATAATCTTCTATCCATAAGGATACCAATCCTTATTTCAAATCAGCCATAAAATGATGGTATTCCTGTTCTCAAATCCATTTTTAAAAGGATGTTGTTGCTTTAGCAACAGGCCACTGTGTGCAACTGAGGTAAGGGGGATGTGACCCATTGCATTCTGCTACTGCACAAATGCACATCCATCGGCATTTCATAGACCACAGCCAAAACGGACACAGTAAAAAGTGTCTGGAAAGCCTTGCCAAGGTTGCACTGGAGACCCACCTACATAATGGCCACAGAAGAATAACTCAGGCTCATAGCACGTGTTTGCTTCTTGCTGTGCTTGTAAATGGATGATAGGTTAAGTATATAATTTTTACGTGCTGCTATCCATCACTAGGATTAACTGAAGCACTTGGCAATTAGGCTCTCATCACTCTTTTTGAGGCTTCTTT